CCCCAAAACCCCAAAACCCCAAAACCCCTTCGAATAAAATAAGTATTTAAATAAATATAGTAAAATGAATTATTTCTCAAGTAATAATAATACTTCAACAACTAACAAGAATCATCACATATCTCTGCCTAATCTGTAGTATATTATGCAAAGCTAGCAAGAATGAAAATCCACAGCTTCACTTTTGAGTGATTATAAATCTTTTAAGTAAACTCCAAATCATGTGGAAAATTATAATACTAATCCAACTCGAGGCGTCTTATCCTCAATCAGAAACCCAGAAACTCGCCTCAAGAATAAAGACAACATCTTTAGTAATAATGTATCGCAATAATATAACTTTGGCTAAAATACTTTCTATAAAACAAATAAAAAGGATACCAACAGAGATATGGAGAAAACTTAGTCAAAATTTAATGAGAGATATATTTAGATTGACGAATTAACTGGGTGGGACAGTTAAGGTGATGAAGAAAATAACTTACTTGCAATGAAGATATTGAAAGATAAGCCTCTGATAAAAAAGAAAAAGAAGACAAAACCTTAAAGGCTCAATAACTATGATAAATTTCCACTTAGTTTGGAGTAATCATTAGAAAACTAAGTATTAGTAAAATCACCATTTTCTTAGCAGACATAAACATAAGCATCGAAAATTATTACATCTCAACAGAGTAATGATTCTTAATAACTAACATTAATTAAGTAGCAGATTAAGCCAGTACTATATTAGTTAGACCAGGATACTTTCAAAAATAAATAGCAGAATAATGATGAATTTCATTAATGATAGCTTGTGATGCAAGCTAATCAAGAAAAACTGCAGAGAAAATCCTCCATCGAATTCAATGCTTATCGAACTTAATTCGAATTCAATTTTATTAGATAAGGGGATAAATTATAAGATACGCTTTAGAAAAAAATAGGTTCAAGGGTGGAAAGCTCATCCTAAGAGTCACAATAATAAAAATCAATTGACAAAGAGAGATAAAAATCAACATATTCAAGGACTTAAAATCTTCATTTAAATACTGAAGACTATAATAAATACCTGCCAGTTATAGATAACTAGATCTAGCCCTCTCTAAATTTTTAAGATTATATAAAATAGAGCAGGGCTCATAGGATAGTCTTGGTGACACCTCCAAAATCAAACGATTAACTCCAAACAGTATCTTAATAAGCAAATTAACCTATGAAAGCTATAAATAAAAGCTAGACTATGTCGCAACTTCCAAAGATTCAGCTTCCTGCGAACTCTGAAAAGCAATATGTCTACACTGTGAGTAATTAATTATAGAATTTGAGGTAGTTGAAGAAATCACCAATTAAACCTAGAAGAGAAAAATACATTTTCCTTAAGGTAAACGGGCTAAGAGTATAAGATAGAGAGGAGATAGTCAGAATTTTAGATTAAATGCAACGAAAAAAGTAATGAATCAATAATTGAGATTGTATGTTTGTTTTAAAATGATAATGTATGGAATAGTTTATTTATTAAAGAATTTAAATAATATTAATCACTGCTATTTGTAGACGCAAACAACTGCAGAGACTAACTTTACTTTGAGGATTGCTATTATTCATCAAGCATAGTATTTGATCAGTCCTCTGTACAAGCTTTTAGTTGTATAGGCTGCATCTAAATCGTTCTCAGGAATTTCAATGTCATCTTATGTAGATGATTTCAAAAGATAATTGCTAGGGTAGGTCGTGAATTAATATCTGTGAGCGTCTCCAACAGCAACATGGAGATAAGAGTATGAATAGTTGGCCCATGATTCACCAATATCAAGTTCCTTTACAAATTCTACAGGGTTGCCAGCCCAAAGTTACTTTGCTGGAATTAGTCTTCCTGGTGGAACAACACTACCTGGGGCAATCATGGCTCCTTTCTCGATTCTAGCACCTTCAAGAATGACACATTTATCTCCGATTGTAACATCATCTTCGATATGGCAAGAGTATAGAGTACAATGAGCACCAACAACGACATTATAGCCAATATATACCTTGGCTGATTATCCAGTTGGGAGACTTGCAGCAGTGTGAACAACTGAATGATCACCAATTGATGAAAAATTCATAATTCTAATAAATAAATGATCAATACAAATAACTCCGATTTGTAAATTACTTACTCAACACGATTAATATCACCTCTGACAACTGAGTTATACCATACTGATGCCCATCTCTTAAGTAGTACCTCGCCAACTATAATTTAAGATTAGCAAGAATTTCATAATGTACCAATTGTAGCATTTGGAGCAATCCAAGCATTTTCAGATCTGGGGTAAAGATCATATAAGCCAACCTTCATTCTGTGCTTTGACATCTCCTCTTAGTATGCAACTTGAGGTCTATCAAGTTCTATATTAGAATTTATCCAAGGGCTGATGTATATTACGACTCATTCTTCTAAGGGCTTACTGTAGGAGTGATTTTCCCTTGTTGTTGATTTATTGAGCAACCTTGTTTGCTATCATTTTTAATTTTTATAATTAAATGCTGTAATATTAATTAAATAGTTATAACAAAGTTAGGGATGAAATACGAGATATAATGAAGTTTAATTCATGAGATATATATGGATGGAGTGAATAGCTTAAATAATGTAATAACTAGTATTAATTCTGCTTTATTATTCATTTGGTTGGGTCGTGGAGGGTACCTACGATATCATCGTCTCTGTAGATGTAATAATCTTGGTTATCAGCAAGAGTCACTTTGCTACCACCGTATTCAGGGAGAAGTACGGTGTCTCCTTCTTTGACGAAAACTGGTCTGAGTTGACCATTCTCTTGGTGTCTACCTGGGCCAACTGAGATAACAGTTCCAAAGTTGAGTTAATCTTTGTTGCTCTCTGGTAAAAGAATACCTCCCTTGGTCTTGGTGAGTGGCTCAACCTTCTTGACAAGGACTCTGTTCATAAGTGGTCTAATTTTGTGAAATGCAATCATTGATCTAAAGATTTTTCTAGAATTCTAATAAATTAATTTATAACCTCAAACTTTTAAACGAATATTTACCCTACGGGGTTTTGGGGTTTTGGGGTTTTGGGG